GTGACCTTGAGCAAGTCACGACCCTCCCCCAGCGTCGGCCTCCCGCTGCGACGTCCGCGGGACCCGCTGTCCCGAGGTGACCTGCCCGCGGCCGCCGGCCCCCCCCCTCGGCGCGCGCTCTCCGGGGACCCCGGGCAGCCCCGGCAGCGTCCCCCCGCGGTGCCCGCCCGCCCGCCCGGTCCCCTCGGGCGCGGGCCACTTACCCGGGCGTGCACCGTCCCCATGGCTCCCTCTCCAGCCGCCGCCTTGCGGGCCTGCCCGGGCCAGACCAACGCTCGGCTGGTGAGTGCACGGGACGCGTCCGCGGGGCCGAGCTGTCCGTCAGCGCAGTTCCCTCAAGCCCCCGGAAGCGGCGCGCTGGGGGCGGCCATGATACCCCGGCTACGCCCCGCCCCCGGCTCATATGCCTTCGCTCATTGGTCCATGTGAGCCGTGACCCGGATGCCCACACGGACGCGGGAGGCCCAGCGGCCGAAGCTGCGGGGGTGTGGGGGGCGGCGCTGCGTGAGGCTCCGCGGGAGCCGGGCGTAGGGCGTGGGCGTCCGCGGGAGATGGAGCCCGCCTGGGGGTGCCCCGAGTGCTGGCTGGGTCTCCCCCGGGGACTCGCACCAGGGAGGCCCGGGCCTCACCGGCATCTGGAGCTGGACCATCCGATGCCCAGGTCCGCCCCTGGTTACGGGGCACTCTTCCAGCCCCTGGAATCCCAGGGCCAGTGTCGCCCCGGTCAGCGCGCAGGTGGCCATTATCTGCTTCGCAGCGTTGGATCCGAAGGGCAGGGGATGAGGGAGGAAATGTGCACTCCTGGGCCAAGGCGTGGCTCCTGGGGAGCCCAGCGGAACTGGCCCTGGTCCTTCACTCCGCCCCGCAGTCGGTAAGAGGGATCCGGGCCGGACCGCCCAGGTGTTTGGACAGAGACCATCACAGCGGTGACAAGAAGACTGGGACTTCTGTTACCGAAACAGCGCCCCCGCTTAAAAAAAAAAAAAAAAAAAAAAAAAGTACGTGTGTTTAACAAAAAACCATACACTCTGATAAAAGCAATGAAAGGACCAAGACAGGTAGAGAATGAGAAAAGAGGAATCGTGGGTAATTATGTGGACGGGCCACACTCCCTCGGGTAACAGAGAATCTCTTCCTTTTCTTCTTTTCCTTTCTCCTTTCCAGAGACCCTGACACCCTTTCCATTTAAATAGCAGCTCTGCAGGCCTCCAGCAGGCCTGGATGTTCGCATCCACATTTCCCTTCTTGCCTGGAAGGAGACGCATCCCAGTGCCAGCCAGACCCTGGCCCTTCCCTTGCTGCACCCCTTGCAGGTTCACCTGTCCACTTATTTATCCTCCCAGCTACACCATCAGCTCCAAGAAGTTCTGTCTGATTTTGACTGAACCCGGCTCCTAGCACAGAGCCATGTACCAGGCAGAGACTCGTAGATATTGACTGGGTTACTGTCCTTCTATCCCAGAGCAGGGCAGACAGAGGCWGCGCTCAGCCTCAGCTCCAAGCATAAGTTACCCCTCTCCAGAGCTGAGAGGGGACCCAGGAGGGAGGACAGGAGTGTCTTGTCATCCCATCACCAGCCTGACCTCATCTTGGTGCTGAGCAGAGCTTGGCTCAGTAAACAATCTGCACCATCCTCATTACATTGGAGGGAAGTGGAGGGGGCACATCCCTCTGCACCCCTGTCCAAGCCCGTGCTTTTGCTCACACTGTTCCTTCTGCCTCAGATGCCCCTTAGCCACTCAGCCAGGAGTGCCTGCCGCCTTCCAGGCCTGGTCCACGCCCACGCTCACTGCCCCAGAGTCACACCCTGCCCCAGCCCTCCTCCATCACCAATGTCCCCAGCCAGGTTTCTCTCAGTGTGTCCTGGAGACTAGGGCTGGGGGTGTGGCTCAGTGGAAGGAAGGAAGGAACAAAAGAAAAGAAACATGACATTCCTGGGCCTCAGGACTTACTGACACAGAATCTCCAGAAAGTAGAAACTGGATGTGTGGATTTTGAAGAAGTGGCCAGTTTGTTCTTTGGCCCTGTAGGTTGGAAAACCTCTCACTTTAAAAAAAAAAAAAAAAAAAATTGGTTCCCTCTCTGTCCACCAGTAGTTGCCAAAGGCAGTGAGATTGCTAAGGCCTCTGCCAGTTCTACAGAAGATCTAAAAAGCCTGTTTAGATTTCAGATTAATTCTAATCTGATTTAAATTTATATTTAGAAAGTCATAGGTCCTGGGCATTTGCAGGCTTTTAAACCTATATTGGTTTGGGAGGCTGAGACAGGAGGATCAGGAGTTCAGAGCCAGCCTCAGCAAAGGAGAGGCGCTAGGCAACTCAGTGAGACCCTGACTCTAAATAAAATACAAAATAGGGCTGGGGATGTGGCTCAGTGGTTGAATGCCTCTGAGTTCAATTCCCGGTACCAAAAAAACAAACAAACAAACCTTATATTGGATCTCCACATACCAGGGTCTCAACGGACACCACACAGCTCCCATTTAGCAGTTCTGAGAGCAGACTTCATGGACAGTCCCACTGCCATCAAGTTATAATTCTGCCATTGCCAAGCTGTGTGTCCTTGGGCAAGATCTGTACCTCTCTGGGTGAATCTCCTCTTTTGTACGATGAGGCTGGTTACAACATTCTTCCTAGGATTGCTTTGAGGGGAAAATGAGCCATCCCTGTAACCACCAGGCTCAGCAAGAAGGCGTCACTTAACCATCACAGTAAGGTGGGCAGTTTTAGGAAAGGATGCAACTGAAGCTCAGGACAGCACATAACTTGCCCTCAGCCCCACAGCTTGCAAGTCTGATATGACCCATCTGACCCTAAAACAGCCCCCAAGCTGTTAACCACCTTTGAGTGATGCCCACATGCTGCAGGGACTGGGCAGAGGGCTAAAGTAGATGATGGCACAGATGACCCCCTCTCCCTGTATTACCCTCTTCAGACAATTTTTATAGGAGTAGAGTGGGGAGCAGTACACATTACTCTCCCCGCAGGGCTGCCTCCCTTCCCTCTTCCTCCCTCCCGCCCTCTTTTCTGCCTCTCCCTCTCTCCTTTCTGCTGGGGATTGAACCCAACACCCAGGCGAGCCTGGCAAGCCCTCCTCCGCTAGGCCGCATCCCCAGGGCTCCAGATCAGTTCATAACCAGGTTCACAAGCCCAAGCTCTGGAGGCCACCCAGTGCTCTGGGCTCAGTGCCAGTGGGCCAGGTTCCTCTGCCATCAGAGGGAGGCTTTGGTGTCCTGCCGATCCCAGTCCACTCAAAAGCCCATGTTGGGAGTGAAGACAATCTGGGAGACGGGACGCCTCTTATGTACAAGCCACACGAGCTGGACTCGAATTTCCACGCATTTGAAGTTCATTCTGCCYGTTTCCCATCTTTCAAGTGGGATGACAGTGAATTCTAAGGTGCAAGGTGGAGGGTTTGGAGAGGGCAAGCTGGGCGGGCCCCTGCAGGCACTGGAGGAGCGGGATTCTCTTTCTCCTGCCTTTTCTTGCATGTGCCTCTCATAGCTATTCTTGGGGCCACCCACAAGGTCACTCTGCAGTACAACAGGAGCCATGAGCCAGATATCGGAGAGACTGTGAGAAGGGCCGTGGCAGGATAGCAGAGGGCAGGTGAGGAGCCCCAAGTCCCTGCCTTACCCCAAGCTGCTGGGACCTCGCGGTCAGAACATGTAGCAACATCCAAGCTGTGGAAGCCCTGCGGTGCCAGTGCCCGCTGTACCCGGGGTTTCCTGGGTCTGAAGACTGTTAGGGTTTGTTGTTTTGTTGTAGTTGTTGAGGTTGTTGAGGTTACCTTGTGCAAGGATGGAATGGCATTTCCCCGTCCCCATCCACTTGACTCATCTGGTCAATAAATGGGGAACAGAGGGAATAGGGAAGCCTTCGAGACCACTGCCTTCCACCTCGCGTGTCAATCAGCGGTCCTCAGATGGTGGGTGGGCTCAGGCAGGTCTGGGAGGGAGGACAACTTGAAACAGAGCCAAGTCAGTAAGCCATGTCTTGTAAGGAGACCTCTGGGGCTTTTTGTTAATGCAGTATAACCAGCCCATCCTGACTGACTCCAGTGACAGCTACAAGCCAGGGGACCCCCTTCCGGATGATTTATTAACCAAGTGCTGGCCTGTCCACTGTAGAGATGCAGCTTAGTGACCAGGTGGTTCTCCTCATGAAATCAGACCCCAGGTCTCACTGGCCCGGGGACTGGTGGCAGGCTGGCTCTTGCTACTGGAGTCACCTGCCTATTAGGACACGGCATGGTGAGGGCTCCCCAGGGCCCTGCGCCCTTGTTGTCCCTTCCCACATGACACTTGAGGACTGAAGGTGAGTGAGGAAGACGGAAGAGCATGGGGAGAACAGCCCTCAAGGCAGAGGCCCGCAGTAGGAAGTGGGAGGCAGAGAGGCTCTGAGCTGCTGGCAGGACTGCACAAGGAGGCAGGAGGCTGGAGGCTGGAGGCTGCACAGGAAGGCAGCTGCAGGGTGCTGGCCACAGGTCCAGGCCTATGGGCAGCAACATGCAGGGCAGATGGGTTGAGGCTCTCAGTGCCTCAGGACCCCAGGGGGAAGCTGCTACGGCAGGCCAGGGGGAAGGGCCCAGCCTGACCAGGGCAGCAGGGCTCTGAGGGTGGGACCAGCTGGAGTGGGGCAAGGGGGCACTGCCATGGTCCCCAGTTCCTGGCTCAGGGGACTTGGGTGGGCCTGACCCCCATCAGAACCAGAGACGGGGGGTCCTGGGCGTAAGCAGGGCCTTAGAGGAGCGGCCATCACACCCAGCAAAGCTTCTCTGCTCAGGAGGGCCAAGTGCTAGGACCCCCTGGGGGCTCCAGGAGGGCGAGCAGCCTGGCAGGGCTGGCCACAGGGCTGGGGGCAGGGCACAGGGCAGTGGATGCCAGGCGGTCAGGCAGGGCAGCCTGGGGCGTGAGCATGTGAGCCTGCGGGGACAGTGGCTGTAAAGGGACCTGGCCGTGGGAAGGGAAAGGAGGCCCGCAGGTAGACAGGGACAGGGAGCACATTTAAAAATCACATTTAATAGGAATCATTTTGTGATGCTGAAGGAAATGCATGTTGACCCTGGAAATGTGGAAAATGCATAATAGCCAACGAGTCAAATGCCCTCCTGAATAACAGCACGACGGGGCGGAGACACCTGTCCTCGTGAAGCACAGGTCCTCGCCCACACGCATCTCTTTTTGAGCAAAATTGGGCTCATACTCTGCACCCAGTTTTGCCATCTCCTTACCAAATCAAGACTCGCTCCCTGACATTAAGTGTGCTACTGTGATTGTTCCCCAGGGTGGACCTGAGAGGATGGGAAGATCCAGGGACCTGCCCCTGAGCTGCTGAGGAACTTCCGGGCAGGACAGGCAGCACTGAAGGCACGGGGAGGGGAAGCCTCGGCCGTCTCTCAGGTTTGATTGACCTTGTCGCTTCCTTAGCCTAAGACACTTTTTAAAGTGTCGTAAGGAAGTTGGAAAAAACTTTTTGCCAAGTAGAAAAGAGAGAATTTCAAGTATGTAAAACATTCAGCAAACTACAGCTAACACCCACCAGCCACCACCTAGACGGCACCAATCTTAATATTGAGCCGTATTTTCTTGAAATTTAAGTAAAATAATTGATATAACTGAAAGGAAATTGGGAACTTTTCAAAAGAAGAAAGGAAACAAGTCCCACGTGATCCCATCAGCCTTGACACAGCTCCTCATAAGGATCGCAGACCCAGTGTAGACACCCATCGTGTGCAAGTGTGTTGGCCACTGTCAGGCACTGCTGGGGCTTGGCTGTGTCTGCTGAGGACCTGGCCAGTCCTTCTATAGGGAACGTGGAAGGTGGGCGCCCCTGCGGGGCCTCGGGGGACAGTTGCCCAGCCCAGGCTGCACTGAATGCTTCCTGCATGTGTCTGTGGGATTCTGTGGCTCTCTTCCTTCCAAGATCGCACAAGATGGCCCAGCCCAGCCCCTGTCTAAACTCTGGCCCCCTTAGGAACCTTGGCCACTCTGGGCACTGTCCAGCCACTAGCAGGTGTGAGCCATCCTGCCATGGCTCCTGCGCTGGACTTCCTGGGACCATTCCCCAATCAACGGAGCCACCTGGCATTAAGGTAGGTCTCCTCAGGGGCTGGATGGCCCCTGTACCCAAGTAGCTTGCTGGCTCCCATCAGACCAAAGCCACTGCCTCTGGTCCCATGATCTACCACTGAGCAGAGGCCAGGATGCTGAGGTCACAGGCACAGGTCACTAATCAGCAGCTGGGGCGACTGTCCAAAGGAGAGAAGGCCTGGCACCTGGGGAAGGTTCCTAGATGCCCCCTCAGGTCTCAGAAACTCCTTTCCCAGGAAAGTAAGGAGGGCAGAGCGACCCCCACCCGCCCACGCCATGATGTCAGGCTGGAGGCCAGGCTGGCGGTGAGGATGGAGCACCAGGCGCTGCAGGCGGCCTCTCCTGGCCTGTCCACGGGGTGGGCGGCTGGGTCGCCTACAGGTCAGCAGAGCTGCATCCTGCAGGGTGTGAGGGCACGGGCTGGCCACTCGCTGGCCTTTGGAATCTGAAAAGAGTGAGGAGGGCTGACTTGGCTGTCCGTCCTGGGCTCAGCAGGATTCTCGATGCTGCTCCACACACCTGCACACTGCAGTGGCCTGGCCCAGAGACAGCTTCCTCCTGCCTCAGTGCAGGGCTGAGGTCACCAGCCGGCTCCTCCATGTCCATGGTCCCTGAGCTACCTGGACACCTCCCGCTGACACCCGCCACCCTCCCTCCCTCCCCAGACCCAGATGGGCCACTGGTTCCTACATACCTGCTCACCTGCCAGGGTGCTCTACCTCCACCACCTAGCACCACGGAGCAGGGTCCTGCCCAAAACGACACTCCCTTGTGCCCAGGAGCAGTGGGAGGCCTGCCACTCACACCGTCTGCTGTGCCCAGGCCTYCCCGGGCCTCCCCTGGCCGTGGCCACAGCCCTCTCTTTGGGAAGTCTGCTGCCAGCCCGGCCCATGGCCTATCCTCACAGCCCAGGGTCACCTTCCAAGAACTGAGGGTCCTGCTTCTCAGTTCTGCCATGTCTGCGGCTGACAACCATGATGGCTGCAGAGTGTCCCCGCGGCCAAGCCCTATGCCAAGTGCTCAGCCTCATGGAGAGCAGAGAGGGCCCAGGAAGCGCCCTCTGAGCGGGGGGAACCAAGGCCCCTGATCTCGGGATGAGGCCCGGCCCCTGGCACAAGGTCCTCTGGCTCTGGGTCAGTTTGCAGGATCCAGGAAGTGAGACCTCCCCAGTCTGCTGGGCTCCACCCCTGAGACTGGCTGGGGAAGTGGGAGGACAGGGTCTCTGCCTCAGCAGGCTCTGCCCTCCAGAGGCCCTGCTGCCCTGCCCCTCCTCAGCCCACAGTCCTCCTCTCCCTGCTGCACCCCTCCCTGCCCTGAGGCCCCCAGAGCGCCTTCCCTACACCACCCAGTGCCCCCACTGCCCCATCTTCTCCCTGTCCCCTCCACCCAGGTGCCCTCCTCTGCTTTATCGGGCTCTCTGCTCACCATCAACACTGGGCTCCAACGGACTCTCCCGGGGAGAAGGCTAAGCAGGCGGGCCTGGGGCACGGGGACTGCTGGGGGACTCAGGGCATCCCACGGGACACGGCCCTGCACCCAGGGTAAGCTCCTTGCTACCAATCTGGCATCTCATAGGCATTTCTGGAAGGCCATCTGGCCCCCAAGCCCCAGCCAAGCCACTTACCTGGAAGAGGGGAGCAGGCACGTCATCAGGCAGGCACACACCTGGGAGGTGACCCACTGCAGCCACTGGATAAAATCATCTGGGATATTGGGAAGCCAGATCAGCARTCTGTAGGAACGAAGCCAAGACCACACACACACATACACACAGGTGTGCACATGCGTGACACACAGAACTGCGCAGCCTTCCAGTGCGAAGCCAGAATGAAAGCAACCCAAAGCAGTTTCTCCTCATGGCCCCTCGGGCCAGGCAGGCTGCCGACGGTCCCAGAGGTGGATTCGGGATTCGGTGGCAAAGACAGGACTACCTAAAATCTAAAGCAAAGCCAGGCCACTTTGGGTCCTGGAGAGTCGGGGGACTTTGTGAAGATGAAAAGGAAAAGCCTTGGCTGTCCAAGGTCCCCGGGGCTCCACGGGAGGCAGCACCAGGGGTGCCCATGGGGGGCTGGTCAGCCCCCCACCGATACAAAGAGGACCCCCCAGGGCTGTGGTAGACACCCAAACACAGACCGCAACCCAGGACAAGGGCCGTGAAGGTCGGGTGGTCGATTCTGGAGGGCAGTGGCAGAATCCAGGGGCCGCCAGGGACTCTGAGGGAGGACTGGACTTCAGAAGATGGGCTGGAGGACCTGCGGGCTAGCTGGCCAGGAATCAGGTGAGCACTGAGCTGAGCCTCGGCCCAATAAAACAGGATGCAGTAGGAAGACAGGGAGCCCCAGTCACTGCCCAGGAGCTCTGCCGGGCGACAAGCCACTCCTCCCAGGAGGAGACCCCGAGGGGAGCCACAGTCTCAGCACAGAGCCTGAAGCCAGCCGCGCAGACGTGGTGTCTACACTGGAGCAGCGGATTCCCAGACAATGCCCAGGACAAAGGTATGAGAGAGAAAGAGGAGACAAACAGAAGAACTGGTCCAGGAAGAGAGAGAGAAGGGGCTATTCAGAGGACAGCAAATATTCCAAGAGAACATTACACCCATAAAACAAGAACAGGGTGTTCTCCAAACGCAAGTCTTCTGAAGCAGTAGGCTTGGATTTGTATGGAAATAACAAATTTGGTTGGTGTTTATTCATGTCCTTTGATTTTTTTTTTTTTTTTTTTTAGTTGTAGGTGGACACAATACCTTTATTTTCTATTTAGGTCGTGCTGAGGATCGAACCCAGCACCCCGCACGTGCTAGGCGAGCGCTCTGCTGCTGAGCCACAACCTCAGCCCTCCTTTGATGTTTTGTAGCTGGATAAAGTAACCTACTGTCAATAAGTTATATGCAATTTTGTGTTACTCTTCACACTGAAATTGGAATTCAAATGTTTTTTTGGAAGGTAAAAAGGAGAGCCTGATCTGTTTAAAGATGACATAAAACACGGAAGCATTCTGCCACCTTTTCTACCAAAAAGTTAACAGCTCTCTTAGCCTTTGATCCGTATGTCATATGTAATGTCCTATCGTGTTATTTGCCTGAGATAAGGCCCTGCCTCCCACCTTACTCCCTGTTGGAGTGGCTCCAAAATAGTCTAGACTTAGCTCATTTAGAGTCGTGTTCAAAAGAAAGAATTTTGTTGTAAAGATTATCGTGATCTCAAAATAAACAAAGGATGTAATACATAAAACTAAGTTGCTCCGGGGTTCCAGGAGAAGACCAG